AATAGTTTCGAAGATATATTGATTTGAAATGTCGCGTGACGTCACTTCTCAGTACATTTTATACTAAGAAATGACGTTTTAGCCCCCACTCCTAAACTTTGATTCGTTTTATCTAAGTATTGTTTTATTATATGACAAAATAAAAAATACGTGTCTAATATTTTTTAATTACCTACCTTACGGACTAATTAGATTTTTAATTTTCATACCCTGTCATCATCCCCATTTAAAATTGAGTAGCCTTTCAGTGCTCGAGAATAAGTATATTTGAATATTAGTTACGTATGTCTCACGATATTTATAAAAAAAGCATTTATAAGTTTACATTACTTACATTGAGATATCTGCCGATGTTGCCTTGCACCTTAGCGTCCATAATGTAGCACGCCTCGTCCTTGCCGAATAGAGTACGCACAGACCTAGAACGTAACAAAATAATACATTAGTAAGTTTTTTTAATGGGGATAAGTCGGTAAACGAGCAGACGGATCACCTGATGGTACGCAATCGGCGTCGCCCATGGACACCTGGAACACTAGAGATGTTACAAGTGCGTTACCGGCCTTTTGAGGATTGTTGCGAATTCAGGGATTGGGGAGACTGGGGATAGGGGCGTAATTGGGCCTCCGGTAACCTCACTCACACGATGAAACACCACGCAAGCGATGTTTCACGTCGGTTTTCTGTGAGGCCGGGTTTTTTAATCTACATTTTATTGTTTTACGAATAAAACACCCACATTTTACATTGAAATACAAATTTAAAAAAAAGTATAAGACGTATATAATTATGTTCAGTTCAAATCCACAGAGCACGAGGGGTATGAAGGACCTGAACGATGCACCAAACAGCCCATATATATAGATATAGTGATAACTTACTTGTATTTAGAGATGAACTCGCTAGCTCCCATGCCAGCTTGCGCCATGAACCTCGATGGTTCTCTCACTGAGGAAAAATACATAATTTACAATTTTTCTATTTCTAGATATTAATATTCCACATTAATTAGTACAAACATGTTGATACTATGCTCACTGCTCATCAGTACAACAATACTTTTGCCATTCCCCTCGGGGATCAAAAGGCGTAATGTTATCTATGTTTTCTTTTTCTCTTTTACTAGCGACCCGCCCCGGCTTCGCACGGGTGCAATATGTATGTATTATACACATAAAACTTCCTTAAGAATCACTCTATCTATTAAAAAAACCGCATCAAAATCCGTTGCGGAGTTTTAAAGATCTAAGCATACATAGGGACAGACAGACGGCGGATAGCGACCTTGTTTTATACTATGTAGTGATGTGTCACTGTTTGTCTTCCCAAATAAATAAAAAAAATATAGATTTTCACGCGTGTTTTTGCAAATAAATAATCTATCTTTGTCTTTTTTGTTTATATTAATAAACATATATTTTTCAAGTTATAAATAAATAAAAATATTCTGTTAGTTAGCTTAATATAATGTAATAGCTTCTACCCGTGGTTTTGCCAGTGTAGCCGTGGGATAAATAAAAGGCTTATGTGTTATCTCATACCATTACCTACCCCATTGAAAATTTAATTCTCATTTCATAAACGTTTTTATTAAAAAAAAAACGAATTAAAATCAACTAATAGAAAAAAATGTCGTGGTGGCCCGGAGGTTTAAACTGTCAAACACCAAGCGGTCACCGGTGACCGCAACCTATTGTTCTATAATTGTGTCTATAATGACGGTACTCGACGAGTCAAGGCCGCTTCTCATGCATGAGAGTGCGGGTACGAAACCTACCAATGACAAGTACCAATGTGACTTTTTCCGAGCTATATGTACTTTCTAAGGTTATTTAGACACCACTTACAAACGGTGAAGGAAAACATCGTGAGGAAACCTGGGCTTATAATTTCTAATTATAAGTTTGTAATCGCCAACCCGCATTGAGCAAGCGTGGTGATTAATGCTCAAACCTCCGTGTGAGAAGAAGCTTTGCTCAGCAGTGGGCACTTATAGGCTCTTGATGTATGACGAACTGAATGAATTTAAATCTAAGCCTACCTTCTTCATCATCACTGATGGTGATACAATCTTCATCAGGGTTCTCTTTGGAGGCAGAATCCTTTTCTTTAATTATATTCTCTTTACTATCTTTTTCTTTATTATCTTCTGAATCGGGTTTATCTTTATCTTTCTTTGTTTTATCGCGTTTCCGGAGCCGTTTGCTGTAAAAAAGATTTATAAGTAGAATATTGTTTTAGGAAAACAAATATGTTATTACTCATTATACCAGTGCCTTTAGCCAAACGCCACTTTAGCGCTTGTCTACAGAGAGAGTAGAAATCAAAATGTATGGGGATGACACTGACAAGTGTCAAAATTTACGTCAATACCATATAATTTGGTTTTCTATTCTACATGTAGACAAGCGCTAAGTGGCATTTGGCTACAGCTGCTGACTACTTTGTTGGCCGAGTGTTCGCAAGTGACAAGGGGTCTCGGGTTCGATTCCCGGGTCGGGCAAAGTATTACTGGGTTTTAAAAAAATATCAATAGTAGACTCCGTGGAGTCTAGAATTGTGCCCGGTATATGGCAATAGGCTCACCCCCTATTACATGACCAACTGGAAACTACCTATTATTGAAGTCGGTTAAAAATAGGACTATGGTTTCCCGACGGCAGCACTGTCACAGTCATCATCATCATATACTCACTTAAACTCCATAACACCGAGTCCAATGTACCCAGGTCTGAAGTCATCGTCCTCCTTGTCGCTCTTGGAGGCGTTGTCCTCCTCGGAGGACGACGAGGGAGGTTCCTCGTCTGAGGCCTCCTCTTCCTTGAATAGCTCCTTCTGTAATAATAAAGCCAGAATTATTTTATATATAAGCAGTTTTATAAACTTTAAGTGTTGTAGAGCCATGCTTTGGCATGAATGAATGCCGGCTCGATTGGAGTGATACCTCGGCCCCGCAGTACACAGTGAAACTACCACAGCGGGGGTGCAGTCGTGGGAGTGAGATTACTGGAGGGCCAATAGGCATGGCGACTATTTTTTAATTTTTTGTCCGTCTTTTAGATATTTTAAAAATCTTCGATACGTATTTTTTCTTTATTCTCGTATCCAAAAAAACATGTAGATATTTTGAGTTAAAATGACGCGTGACGTCACAATTAGGTACGATTTCTCCGTAAGTGTGACGTCAACACGCCCCACTCCCTAACTTTAATGCGGAATAACTTCGTATTCTTCTGTTAATTTGATAAAACAAAAAATACGTGTCTGATATTTTCGTGCGATCTTAATGACGGACTAATTACTTTTTTGATTTTTTGACCCTGTCGACACGCCTATTACCCCCTCGCGGGCGCTGTGGTTCGAAACTAGTAGAACTTTTCTCAGTATATTCACGTGAGTAACCCGCGATTTTTAGTTAATCTCCCCAATCCTCGAAACCACAAAAACATCAAATTTCAAATCACGAAAAGGCCGGTAACGCACTTGTAAAGCCTCTAGTGTTCCTCCAGGTGTCTATAGGCGACGCCGCTTGCTTACCATCAGGTGATCCGTCTGCTAGTTCGCCGATAAATGACATAAAATAGGACGGTAGACGGTAGACGGGTAGGTACCCGTGTCAAGAGTAAGGGTGGTGGTTACATATCCTACCTTGTCTAGTTTCTTATCAACCTCAGGAATGTCCTCTTCATATCCTTCCTTCATCTGTTCCACTACCTCGATGTAGTCTAATTCAGCTAGGTATTCATCGCCCTCGTTTAGACCGTCCTGAAAAATAATATATGTGAAAAATAGACTATGTGAAAAATAAGCACAATTTGAAGAGATTTCAAAAAAGCGCCAGAATTTAAATATCCCTAAATAGTAAAAATATTAAGACGTTGATATATCGTACTGAAGATCACCAAAATTTGTTCATACAAAAGTAGTCTCTAAAACATCGGAAATAAGGTATATAATGGAGTCAGTGGAGAGTGGTCACTAGTGACCGCTTGGGATTGAACAGTTAATTGACGCTTTATTTTAAAATGTTAATTTTGAACTTCGTTTATTTACATAGAAAAATAATCAAATTGTCTTTAATTATGTTAATAATTTTGAATAAGTCATCTTTTGCATGGACTTCATATAACTATTTCTTTTACTCTATCACCAAAAATTTAATTTCGAACTTGACTTTGACCTTAACTTCGATCTTGACCTAAATTTTATTTTTAACCTTTACTTCGATTTAAAATTTGCCTTTGATAATAACATTGACTTTGATCTTTACTTTTGACTTTGATCTTAACTTTTGACTTTGATCTAAACTTTTGACTTTGAAATTAACCTACAATTATCACATAAACTTTAACATCAATTTCAACTGAAACTTGACTTACCAAGTTGGCAGTAGCATCAGTAAGCAAGTTCCCCGCGTACACACAGAGGAAGGCCCCCTTGGGGACATCGTTCAGCGCACGGATACCCCAACCACGGTTCAGGGTCTTGAATACCTGGTAAACGAAATGCAACTTTATTTAGATGGAATAAAGTTATTTTTTTTATGGAATAGGTGGCAAACAAGCACGAGAATCAAACTCACAAGGCGTTGCGCGGCACCCGAGTGTGCAAAGAGCCATCAGACAACCACGAATGGGGCCCAATAGGGCTGATGCCGATACAGAGCCGCGGAAGGCCTAACAACGGGTTGCCGAAGAGCAAGAGTAGGAACGGGGTGGTTTTTAGTCAGTAAGAGTCTGACAATCCCTCTCGCCTGACCCAAGACGGGAGAAGTCATTGGTCGATTTTCCCCCTCATAAAAAAGCGCTCACATATGGGGCCCTATAAGACTGATGCCGATACGGAGCCGCGGAAGGCCTAACGGGTTGCCGGGGCTAATGTTAAGTCAGTAAGAGTCTTCATTCTCTCTCGCCTCACGCAAGCGGGAGAAGGAATTAGACAATTTTTTTTTACGGAAAACAGTAATAAACTGTATTACACAAGCGCCTCTAATGGCACCCCCGTCATTAGTGGTAAGCCGAATAACATTAATAAAGACAAACTTACCTGTAATTTCAACTGTAAGGGATGCTGCGCCACCCTGTTCAGGCAAGTATGCTTGCATTTACACCTGTAAAAAGTAATAATTATAGTTTTAAAAATTACAGGATATTGTTTAATTCAATAGATACCAATCAATTTACTTATTTTTATTCCTAACTAGCTGACCAGCAGCTGTAGCCAAATGCCACTTAGCGCTTGTCTACATGTAGAATAGAAAACCAAATTATATGGAATTGACGTAAATTTTGACACTTGTCAGTGTCATCCCCATACATTTTGATTTCTACTCTCTCTGTAGACAAGCGCTAAAGTGGCGTTAAAGGCCCTGGCTTTTTTAATTGGGACAAGCCCGCCACAACCTTCCAAAACCACTGCAACTTTTGTAAGCCAGGATCTACAGTAGATACAACCATGAAAACACCGGAACACTGAAGTCCGGCGCGTCCCAGGGACATGAATAACTGTTTTGGTTCCCGCAACGAAGTGAATCAGAAGATATTATAAGAGGAGAAGAAAACGATAGTTCCCACTTCCCTCGGTGAATTACTGCAGGAGACAGGATGAATTAGAGGTAGGCCTAAAGGCACATAAAAAGAGACCGTACAAAATAGCTGGACCCGGCTAACGTCGTAAAGCCTATAAATATTTTTCTCACCATTTAAACCTTCCCTGGACTTTCATGAACATTTCAAGACCAAAATTAGCCAAATCGGTTTAGCCGTCCTCGAGTTTTAGCGAGACTAGCGAACGAAAATTCATTTCGTTAAAAAAAAACGAAAACGAAAGGCCCAATTACATTCCCCTTCCCCAATCTCCCCAATCCCTGAATCCCTAACGATCCTCAAACTCCTAATCCCCAAAAAGCCGGTAACGCACTTGTAACGCCTCTAGTGTTCCAGGTGTCCATGGGCGACGCCGATTGCTTACCATCAGGTGATCCGTCTGCTCGTTTACCGGCTTATACTATAAAAATATATATACATATATAACGAGCAATTCGTCTGACAAAAGCTGTAAATAGATCAATTCTAAGAAAGAAAGAAAAAACATTTATTCGACAGTAGGCACGCACATACACACATAGACACACACAAAAATGTTAAAATTAACTACTTTTTTATTTAAGATACTCATTCTCCACTCTCTTTCTAGCTCTCTCTCACTCTCCACTCTTCTTAAAAAAACTCCTCTTACCTAGAGTTACACTCATATATCCCGGACGGCAGCGGCTCGGGCAGTCGTTTGTATGCGTAGCCGACATTGGGCCCGTCCAGTCCTATCGTCCGGGCACCTTCTAACGTCATCTTCCAACACGCGCATTTTGATTTATCCTGAAAACAAAAATAGGATTAACAATTTAGTTTCCCGTATTATTTACCGGGTTACCGGGGCTCCGGCTCGAAGTGCAGGACTAAGAACGGGGTGGTTTTTAGTCATTAAGAGTCTCCTTCATTCCCGCCTCACCCAGGGCGGGGGGAGAAGGAACTAGATGATTTTTCCCTTCTTCATCATCTTCAGTCTACATAAAGGGTCATACTAAATTAATTGTTATGTTTTCGACTTACTCACATAACTGACGAGGAACTCGACTAGTTTCTAGAGGCTCATATTCATGAATATGAATCTCTAGCAAAATTTACATAAAGGGTGTGAATATGATATTTACATAAAGGGGTTCTATGTAATATGGAGACTTTTTAATGCGTGACTGGTCAACGAGTAGACTGATCACCAGATGGTAAGCCATCAGTTAGTCATCATTACTTTTGGTTACGTTAGGCTTTTTGGGGGGCCTGTCCCCCTGTTTGGGGGTGGGGGATTTAAGGATTAGAAATCGCCCTTAGAGATACAAAAATGGTATGTTAAACCCATAATGTTCTTACCCTTTTAACTTGGACTGGGTAATAGGTAGCCAGGTGAATTTTTTAAATCTCTGTAGTAGCACGGAGTCTGGAATTGTGCCCGGTATATGGCAATAGCCTCACCCCCTATTATATGGGACTCATAACATAAATAGTGAAAAGTGGGTGTTACATTGTACAGTGGCATTAAGTGCCGTAATGTGCACCTTTGCCTACCCCTATGAGGATAAAAAGGCGTGATGTTATGTAAAAAAATCCAAATTAAAACCTACCTGACAATCATCAGTACAGTCGCAGCCACACAGGAACTCAGGATCTAAGTTAAGTGGCACCCCAGCGGTAGGGGTCCGCTCAGTGTTGTAGGAACAGAACTCTGGGAGGGACTCGTCGTAGTAATTCACACAGGGAACTGGCACGTTCTCCTTGCCGTGGGATAGGTCCTTGAAAAAATAGTCAAAAAATTTCGATATTAGACACGCGAGAAACTACAAAACTAAACTGATTTTTTTATTGGATTACGAATATATATAAGTACATGAATATTTATAATAAAAAAAGTAAAATAAAAGAAAGAAAACAACAAATTTTTTTCTTAATTTAGGCGTCAAAGTATTCGTCCGCATCACTGTCACAGGGAAACGTTCCCAGAAGACTGGCAGCATTGCCACGTTGAATGGCGATGTTTAATTTCTGTCCGAAGAAATAGCCAGCCCTCTGGTCACGTGTAGAGTCGAAAATGTAAACTGATTTTTTTATGGCATAAGCCGGTATACGAGTAGACGGATCACCTGATGGTAAGCAATCGGCGTCGCCCATTGACACACGGAACACCACAGGCGTTCACACAAACGCGTTACCGGTCTTTTGGGGATTGTTGGGGATTCAGGGATTGGGAAAGGGGGGAGGTTTTCTGTGAGGCCGTGGTATCACTCCGGTCGAGCCGGCCCATTCGTTAAAATTACAAGAAGATATGATGTAGAGAAAAAAAAATTGAATTTAATAAGAACACTAACCTGTAACTGTGTAAAGGGCAAAAACAATTTTCGAAGTTTAATCATTCTTAAAAAACTGACTTCAACCCCCAGGGGGGGGGGGTTGAAGGGGTTGAAGCCCTTTTTCAAGTATTACCGAGACAGAACCATTTTACGTCGGGACGAAAACGAAACAGATTTCACGATCTATATGTTTCTTCACCATTTAAGTATTTCACGACATACCTCGTTTTATGTGTCAAATATGCATGAAAACGTTGGATACTTGCCTTAATTGAAAATAAATCATTTCGCCTGTCCAATACAATAAAATAATAAAAAACAATCACACTTTCATTAATTGATTTTGTGACCAACTTAATTTTAGTATTATTCCAGCATATTTTTAACAAATAAGTATGCTGCTTGACGCTAAAAAACCTGACGTCACAATACACAATCTCGTACAAAAGTCATAGAAAACTTTCGTTTTCACAGTTCGAAAAAAGTATTGAATTTTAATAGTTGGCAAGTACCCGATTTATTTATGCTTGAGGAAGATACTCAATTTAAAGTCACAGGAACTTACCTTTTTCCCCACCAGACACTTATTAAGCACGAACTCAGCAAGACAATGTGTCGCAGGCTGGAAATCGAACAGGTCTACCGGCAGGTCCGAGTCAGTAGCGCGCAGGTACCGATGTAACTCTGGCATGTTGCGCAGGCGCCGGCCGCATGGCGCGCGGTACATTACTTCCTTGTGGCCTTTGAAACGGACTATTTGTCTGGAAGACGGGATATTATGTGGTTGTAAAATACTGTGAGAATCAATAGTAAACGATGAAAATTAACATTTAATTTAAAGTAAAAGGTCAAGGTCAAAGTAAAAAATCAAAGTTGAAGTTAAAAGTCAAAATCAAAATCAACATCAAAAGTCCAAGCCAAAGTCACAAGTCAGAGTCAGAAAAAGAAAATCACGATCAAAGTATTCTTATTTATTTATTTACTTGTTTATGTATGATACAACCAATACTAAGGAAAAACGTTCTTCTCATTCTAAAGTCACATTCCACGATCAAATTCAAAAGTCAAAGTCAAAATCAAAAATTAAAGTCATACAAAGTTACAAGTTAATGTCAAACATTTTAAAATATAAATCAACAACGAAAATAAAGGTTGAACAAAAGTCAAAGTCAGTCGAAAGACATTGTCAAAAATCAAATTGAAGGTCAAAAATCAAAAGAAATAAAAACAAACTTAGTTTGGACTATAAATACAGACATAATTTGTTTCATGCGAGCAAAATCTCGAAAATTAGTCAATATATATAGTATGCCTCACGACAGTTATTATAAATACAGAGGCCTTAGTACGAATTTGATTTACGTTTACAGAATTCGAAACGAGTATGCGTTCGGCATTCTGATTGGCCGGCACCAATGAAACAACCAATCACAGCGCAACCCAAACACACACGATTACTTTAACTCGTCAAGTACCGTCATTATAGACACAATTATAGAACAATAGGTTGCGGTCACCGCTTGGTGTTTGACAGTTTAAACGTAAAACAAACTCGTACTAAGGCCTCAGATCAAAAACTAGAGTTTAAAAAAAGAGTAATAAATAGAAAAGTACGTCTCACCTCTCCCACCCGCTGAGCAATGGTTTAGCCAACGGGTTGTACGTCCGAAGGTCCTTCAGTGTGAGTACGTCGCTACGCTTGCACTTAGCGCTGCATCGATGGGGGACCATCTTGTACGGTTTCACTGCATTCTTTGGTGTGTAGTACTGCGAATTAAATTATTAATAAATAATAGTTAAGCCTTTGACATAACATAACACGCCTTTTATCCCCGAAGAGATAGGTAGAGGTGCACATTACGGCACTTAATGCCACTGTACAATGTAACATCCACTTTTCACTATTTATGTTATGAGTCCCATGCAATAGGGGTATGCCTAATGACATATACCGGGCACAATTCCAGACTCCGTGCTAGTACTGAGAACTTAAAAAAAAACCCGTAATACTTTGCCCGACCCGGGAATCGAACCCAAGACCGGGCAGCCCCTTTTAACTTTAATTTTTATGATACACAATATAGAAACCATAACATAATTGGTAATAAGTGGGTCAATAGCCTATAAGTGGCCACTACTGAACAAAGGCCTCTTCTCGCACGGACAAATTTTGAGCATTAATCACCACGCTTGCTCAAGGATATATGTATACTTTGATACCATAAGTTGTGCTACCAAAAATATATAATCAAGATTACCAAAAGTAGTAAGTGATCACTTTTGATGGTAGCCCTACATGGTAGGCGGATAGGTTTTTTTAAGGGAGAGGGGGGGAATCATCGAATGTCTTTTCCCGCCTGGGTGAGGCGGGAAAGAGTGGCAGTATCTTACTGACTAAAAAACCACCCAGTTCCTACTCCTGCACGTCGAGCCGGAGCCCCGGTAACCCGTTAGGTTCTCCGCGACAGACGGATAGGATAGAATAGAATAGCATGATCTAAGCTGTAGTGAGGGAACTATAGCTACCGTCATGACATTCGTTAGGTTACTTCAAACCCTGCGGTCAGAGACAGAAGCCCCGCGAGTGAGGTCCGTCGCCTTGATCTATTTCATATAAACTGCAGTTTTAAATTTGGTGTTTTTTTCCCAAAATATAATTGTTTTCCAAAATGCTCGTGTAAATGTACTTTGCAGTGCTCTGGCGCCAAAACCATTTGTATTACGAAAAAAAAAAACTATCAGCCGAACATAGTACCTCCACCTTTGTCGAAAATTGTGAGTAGTTTAATTTTGAAATTAACGATTTTCTCGTAAAATGGACAAAAAATGAGATATTGTAAAAAAAAACTATAGTACAAAGGTGCAAAATGCAAATCGGAAATAGCACATCAAAATCTATAAAATTGCCGATTTTCAAAACTCCCGGCAATCATACCAGCAGCTGTAGCCAAATGCCATTTAGCGCTTGTCTACTTGTAGAATAGAAAACCAAATTATATGGAATTGACGTACATTTTGACACTTGTCAGTGTCATCCCCATACATTTTGATTTCTACTCTCTCTGTAGGGCACAGGTAGAACTATCAAATTACTGAACTATTACTAAATCAGGTGACAGAGGTATATATATATATATATATGTGTGTGTGTACAACTCACCACTACTCTGCTGGTGACGGCGTCAGTATTGGACACTATCTGTGGCGGCGGGGGCGCGGGGATTGACGTCGACTTCTTGGCCACTGCGCGCTGACGACGGATCATCTCCTGATATATATTGATACAATATTACTACATCGATCTAGTTCCATGAACCGTAGAGTAGGAATGATGCCGGGGTATGAATATTAAAAATCTATTTACGTTCGAACATTGAAAGGCTTCTCAATAGAGATGATGACAGGGTATGAAAATTAAAAATCTAATTAGTCCGTAACTTAGATAATGAAAAAATATTAGACACGTATTTTTTTTTATTTTGTTGTATAATAAAATGATACTTAGATATTACGAATCAAAGTTTAGGAGTGGGGGCTAAAACGTCATTTCTACGTATAAAATATACATAGAAGTGACGTCACGCGACATTTGAAATCAATACATCGTCGAAAGTATTCGTTTCTGTAAGAAAATAAAAAATACGTGTCTAATGATTTAAAATAATCTACCAGACGGACATTAAAATAAAAATTAGGAAATTACCCCATTGCAAAAAAATTATAAAAATTTAAATTTCGCGGGCTACCCTGGGACAATCAGTTTAAAAGTAAGATTTTAATTTTTTAAATATGAAATAATTTCGTATCAGTATCGTTGGTATGTGGTTACTGGTTACCTCGTTATGTTGTTGTTCCTGTTGCGCCTGCGCCTCCTGTCTGTTCTTGGACTCCTGCTCATCAGACCTCGTGTATTCTACGTACGGCATGTTTGACTGGAAATATTATATGGAAATTTGTTAGAAATATATTCATAGGATTTTACAAAAGATAATTAGGCTAGCTTAAAATGGGGGAACCTGTTGAAATATCTGAAATATCATCCCCTAAATTTGTTCATACAAAAGTAGTCTCTAAACATCGGAAATAAGGTCTATAATATAGTTAGTGGAAAGCTGTCACCGGTGACCGCTTGGGTTAAGTAAGTATCTCCTTTAAAAAAGTATAATAAGGATGCCCCCTTTTATACAGCGACTTTTAATATATTGTTTAAAATGAAATCAAAGCACTGATTATAAGGTAAACCTTTCTTTAATTTTTTGCTATTTATAAAGTATCAAATCAAATTCATTCGCAAAAACATGTGTATACATACCTACACACGCAGGTGCATGTATGATAGCGCGTTAATTAATTACGATTAAATAATTTTAGATTTTTAAATTTAAGTATCGAAATTTACCCACAATTATTTTTATTAATATTTGTTTATTATTAATTTAGTTAAAACGTTGTAATTTAAATTAAAATAGCATTAAAGATTGTAACATTAAAATAACAACACATACAACTTGCATTATAATAATATTTGCACTTGTTTACAACCTTACGTCACTTACCTTACGTAGGTAGGTAAAGTGGGGAGAGTAGGAACCGTTTATAAAGCAAGCAAGTTGTACGAGTTAGAGCATTCTCGTATCGAACACGAACGTGTAAAGATCAAATAAAATATTTATAAAAGAAATGAGTTATCGTTTTATTGGAGCCTTGTGAAGTACGCAAACCACCTCACTTGCGAGAAGACCTCATTTGGAGTCACCACCTTCATTTGATGGTTCAGCTCTTACATCAGAAGAGAGGGTTGACGAA